GGTGAATTCACCAGAAAGTTTGCATGAGAAACTTGACATCTCACATAAAGTCAGCGACATACTAGTCTGTAACTGTATAAGAGTGTCCACAATAAATAAAAAATAAAAAAACTTTTTTTTTTTTTTTTTAAATCATGTGCCAAGCTCTTAAACCATACTGTTGCATTCGTATTCATGTATTTGTTTTACTATAGCACGCACCGGCTTTACTGATAAGATGCGCGTTAAATATCGCATGCAATTTATCATGCAGCCCTAATTTTAATCCTAAAAATGTTATGTGCAGTAACCACAAAGTAATAAATAAATAAATAAATAAACATTTTCCTTTATACTGTAAATATATTGGTGTGCACATCTTAATCATCAAGTCTGTAAATATAATTTAAAGGTCCCCTGAAATGCTTAGAATCACGCAGCGTTACTCTATGTGTTGACGTCATTTTAACTGAAACAGGAGACAAGGCGGGACATATCAAGCAGCCCATTTGACAGGGTATGCCAGCCACAATCTCATCCATATTGCTATAAAATATAGCATTCCGTGTAGAATTCAAATAGCTCAGATACATTTTATGGTCTGCGCCGACTCACGCATGTGATCCGCTCCGTGCTATCGTGTCTCTGGACCGGAGCAGAGTGTGTGTGCGGTGCGGTGGTTAGCGTGACACAGCGCCAAACCAGACTTCTTTTTTTCCTCAATGGAAAGCATATTTACACTGTTTGAATCGTTCCCTGTCCCCTATATAGTGCACTACGTGCCATTCACTGTACAGAAAATACTAATTCTGTGGACAAGTGACCGATTTCAGCCGCGGCTTCAGCGTCTATTTTATAGTGTAGGGGGTGGGTGCTTCGGATTCTAGAGAGCATTTGATTGGACAGAAAGTTTGATGAGAAGCTGAAGTACGATGTGACGTCAAAAAAACCGTTGAGCCGTTTTGGGCGGAAGTGACGAACTGAAAGCTTTGAATGCTTGTATCTTCTAAATGCGAATTTTGTCACTGTTTTGGAGCACACTGCCTTATAGATAACCTTAAGACTAACATATTGATACTAACACCTTAAAAACTTTAATTTTGATTTCATGACTTTAAGTATATTATTAGGCAAATCTGTTTAACAAATATCATATATATATATATTATTGTGTTATAGCAAGTCGCACCACATGACACTTTACAATTAAATTCCACCACCTTAACAGAGGTCCTCTCTATATTCTTTCCTGATTTATGTATCATGATATATTTCTAATAAATATCTATGACAGTACTAATAAGGTTTTCTTTTTAAGAATTCGATTTTTTGTAATGAGGCTTTTTTTCTCATTATGATATCAGGACAGTTGTACCACCCTGACAGTTTTGACTTAATGCTCTCAAAAATGAATTTCAATTTAGAAATTAAGAATGTGCATCATAGAAGAAGTGTATTCAAGTCACTGTATGTATGAACTATATTGTTGCAGAATAAATGAGATGGAATTGCTGTCATGTAATGATGTAACTGTACAATTATCTGTAAATGAGGACTGATGTCTTGTCTCAAAGCAAAATTATGTTGGGTAAACACCTACCAATGCACTATAATGTCTGTACCGTACTGTCCCTCCAGCGTGACTATGCAAAGGCTACAGGGTAAAGGGTCAGACATGGGTAGGTGAATTTTCTAAACAAAACCAGCACATTCGCCATTCACAGATGATGCATCATCACCTCAATTTGAGATTGACGTCACATTTCTCTCATCTCAGTGACGTTACAACTGGAGCTTTAACACTATAGATTAATCTAGATCACTTTAAAGCCAGATCCCTCGAGCGGTTCGCTCTAAAACACTCACTGATGTCTACGAGGTGTTGAGCCAATGTGGGGCAGAGCACGCTGTGAGCCTTGAGCCTCAAAGACAATTCAGATCAAGTTGCAAACTCTGTGAGCTTCTAAAAATAGCGTGGTAGGATATCACGCTCACAGCACTAGCTAATGGCCTGCATGGCCAATGGGCAAAAGAGCAGCCAAACACTGCCAGAAATACACTTCACACATTCTCTCTCTCTCCGCTCACACTGCTGACTACTACTGACGGTCTGTCGGGTTCTTATGATGGAGGAAAAATTGGGAAAAGACGCGTTTAATTTAAACAGACCTCTGTGCCAAAACTATCAGGAGAAACCGCAGGATTATCAGCTCTGCCTGATCTGGGGTCAGCTCATAGGGTCACACACCACTAACTTAATCAGCCTGCGTCACTGAGGCCCTGGAGATCTGACAGGAAAAAGAGAATTAGGGGAACATGGGTAGCACTCTTTAGTGAGGGGTTTGAATGGGACGCAAACGTTTATTCAAATATAAAGAATGAAGGCCATTTTTTTCTTAATACACACTCCTGATTCAGAGGCGCATATTATTTCAAATTTAAAAATAATCAAAAAAAGTATTGTGCTCTGCCTCTGAAGCTACTAACATTTTCGTGTGATGTCATCAAGCCCCCACTTTCACAATCCAATCAATTCACAATAGATTAAATCAAGACCCACAGTGCACTTTTCTCACCAAATAACCCATTTTATTTAGGAATATTTCAACCCCAAAATTTATATTTTGTGATTGCTTGCTCATCCAATCCTGCAGAACCATCTTCACTCTAAAAAATAAAGCTCCATGAAGAACTTTTAACATCCATGGAATCTTTTCATTGGACAAAAGGTTCTTTATAGTGGAAAAAGGTTCTTTCAAATTATTCAAATGTATGTTCTTCACACTAAGAAACAAATGGTTATTTTAAGAACTGCTCACTGAAAGGTTCTTTAGGGAACCTAAAATGGTTCTTCTACGGTATCACTGGGGGAAAAAAAAAAAACTTTCGAAACCTTTATTTTTTAGGAATGTCACTCCCTTCCATATAAAAGAAGATATTTTACAGAAGTCCCAGGCACTCATTTCCACACAATGAAAGTAAATGAGGCTTTTAATAAACCTTATTTTGAGGTTCACAAGTTTCATATATAGCTTATTAATTGGAACGTAGTTGGAAAGTAAATGAGAATGTAGTGCACCAGTCTTAGTTTTATAGTGTTCAGGCTCATCCAATTCTGCAGAATAACTGTGTTCCAAAGTTGACCATGGTTGAATTATTCCTTCAAGACCATTAGTTGTCATGCCAACATCAAAAAAGCTTGCGGTCAGGATAAATATGACTACATCATCTTTGAAAGGTCATCAGATTGTTTTAGATTCTCCAATAAATCAATCATGTGATTTTCCACAACAATATCCGATAATATACTGAGGTGAATTATGCTACAGTGATGCCAAAAAACACTTGGCCCCTTTAAAAACATTTTAATTTTACTCCATTAGACACAAAATATATCATTGTTTTCTCTGAAACTAGAATACACTTCACTAAATCATTTTGCAACTACTGAAAATTAAAGTCAGTTCCCCTCAAGTTCACACACGTGTCCTAGCAGAATAACCGAAAAAATGAAATTTCTGACAATGTTTAGAAACCCATATGACTGACTTTCTTCCATGAAACATGTCCTGGTCACTTTTTTACTGTACTGGGGTACTGTACTTTTTTTTTACAGTACTGGGGCGGTCAAGAGCCAAAATTACTTAAAAAAAAAAAAAAACATATAAAGAACTATAAAAGTGGTCCATACAACTAGGCCTTCTGAAACCATACAGTATATGACAGCTAACAGAACAAATATGTAGTCATTGACATCTGTCTTGACTCTCCTTTGCATGTTTACAAAAGTTCACTAGAGAAAATGTCTGGTTTAGGAATGAAATCATCTTTTCAGCCAATCTGTTGATCCATTTCATAAAACCAGTTTGAATGATTCATTCAATAATTTGACTAACATGGTTCTTGATTTCAGCTCACTGACTTAATGATCCAATTACAGCAGTTAACAGCTCATTGGAGTTAAATTTCAGTCTGCTCCTCACACAAAGCTGGCTTTGGAATATCATATGAATCACTTCTATGATACTTTGGCCTCCTCTTTGAAGCTTGAAAGCTAATCCCCATTCATAGTAACTACACGAAAAGGAGCAACCTGTACATTCTTCAAACATTCTCCTTCCGTGTTTCACGGAAGAAAGCAAGCAGACATGTTTCTAACAACATGATGTTAAGTAAATTAACATCCCATTTAACTAAGAACATGTTCCATTAATGTTCGACAATAGAACATGTTTAAATAATCTTAAATCTTCAATCTGAAGTGCATTTTATCATTTGAAACATGCCAAACACACATTAAAACCTGTAATGTTTTGCTTACAAACTGCTTGTGCTATCTTTGTTTACAGTAAATGCCTCTTGGATTGATATGTTTTTTTTGTGTGATTCAAGGACATTCAAGTGTGTTGAATGCGTGCACAACACTCATTTGCACAATATTCAAATAGAAACTAATGTCCTGTAGGCCTATGCATGCCCTGTCAGCTGCAGCACACTTTTGTAAAAAGCCCATCTTTAATGCTGACGGTATTACTAGAGACGACCGCTTTTTTTCCATTGACTTCATGAACGTAATGGTGAGCAGCGGCCACATTCACCGTCACACTCTTCAAGTGCCTGCCTCTTTCTGCCAATCTGTCGCGACATTGTAACTGCCTAGCTCGTTTTCCTCGACCCAGACCTTCAAACGACAATCAAAACGCCCTAACTCACTCTTAAGCAGCAGCTACAAGTCTTTCCTGGATTTCGTGTCTTTTTACGGTCACATGGAGACGGGCCCGACGTTACTCCGAGCCTATCGTCAGCTCAGTAGCATCCATTGCATTGAAGAGAGGCAGCTAGCAGGCGAGGCTAACTCCAGGATCCCCTACAGCTGCTGCTGTGACTGCGAGTTCAGCGCCGGAGCGCTACGCTACAGACGCGCCGCGATACATGCAGCTAACTGACAGTTTGATGCTTCGGCGTTTAGTACGCATTCTGCGCCGAGCTTGTGTGGGTGGGTGAGCGCGGAGCTTGCCTACCCCATTCCGCTGTGAGTCTGCGTGCGGAGGCCGATGTCAAGAGTGACGGCCAGCCGACATCACTCGAAGTGTCCGCCGCCACTGCGCAAGATCCTGCTCGGCTGTGTTAAGCGACCAACGCGATGCCCCGAAGGAAAGCCGCTGGTTAAATATCAGATGCTTCAAAATGTTGTTCGGCTTCGGCTCCGAGCGTTAGACGAGTCCCGGAGAAGACGGCAGATCATGACTCCGCTGTTGGAGACGCTGTCTGCATATTCCAGCCCGTAGTGTAGAGGTAGCAGAAGGCGCTCAGACAAACAGCCGCTCTCGCGCTCATTACTCACCTCACTGTACACACATATGAGTGACACGCACGCACGCACGCTCGCTCGCTCGCCCAGAGCTAGCCTATATCAGGACTGTTTCCTGCTGTTTCAATGAGCTCCTCTCATATTAGATCATAATCATACGCATCATCTAATTAGCACACACTTTCACATTAAAATAATTAATAAAATTGTAAATTATAAATCATTATAAAATTGATAGTTTACAAAGGGCTTTACTGAGAATATATATATATATATATATAT